CCAGGCCTCCCTGTCCATCACCAACTCCCAGAGTTTACCCAAACTCATGTCCATTGAGTTGGTGATGCCATCCAACCATCTCATCCTCTGCCGTCCCCTTCTCCTCCTGCCCTCAATCTTTCCCAGCATCAGGGTCTTTTCAAAATGAGTCAGCTCTTTGCATCAGGTGGCCAAAATATTGGAGTTTCAGGTTTGACATCAGTGCTTCCAGTGAACACCCAGGACTGATCTCCTTTAGGATGGACTGGTTGGATCTCCTTGCAGCCTAAGGGACTCTCAAGAGTCTTCTCCAACACCACAGTTCAAAAGCATCAATTCTTCAGTGTTCAACTTTCTTTTGTCCAACTCTCACATCCATACATGACTACTAGAAAAACCATAGCCTTGACTACACAGACCTTTGTTGGCAAAGTAATGTCTCTGCTTTTTAATATGCTATCTAGGTTGGTCATAACTTTCCTTTCAAGGACTAAGCGTCTTTCAATTTCATGGCTGCAGTCACCATCTAGAGTGATTTTGGAGCCCCCCAAAATAAAGTCAGCCACTGTAGCCCATTCTTGTTTTAAAGATATGCAATCCTTTAGAATCTTTGACATGATTAACCATCCTGTATTGGATGTTATCTGCTATTTCCTTGACTGCTTTAGTCTTTCCTGGAACTATATGTATTCAGTCTGTTGTTTCTCTTTCTTACCTATGTTTTCTCTCAGTTTTTTTAAATTTTAGTATGTTCCCAATTATAACTAACAGCCCAGATGTAGCAAAATGTTACATTCAGGTGTTTTAAAATCACAGGTTAATATGCTTTTTATCCCACAGTGAATTCTGACCCTGATTGTGAAGGTAAGAGAAAAGGTAGAAGGGAGGATGAAAATGGAGAGAAAGTTTGTGTGTGATTGGGTTTTCTTTAGAAGGAGAAGGGAATTTATAGGCACAACCATTTTGGGGGGGGGAGTTGGGTTTTATTTATTTATTCATTTTCACTCACTATAGTATCTCCTCCTTGGCTCAATTTCCATGTAGTGTCTCCTAGGGGAGAACTTCCATTTTACTTGGCGAGCTATTTACTTAGTTTTATCTTCTAGGAAAATTCCTTTTTGGGAGACTATTCCAACTGTTCTACAGATCTTGAATTAATTGGCTATTCGACAGGGCTGGTCCTACTCCCAATTCCAGCTGCTTGGAACTAGAAAATTTTGGAAGTTCTGATGAGTCAACTCACTTACTTGGTCATCCTTTTATTTTTAATCTGTCATAAATTGCAGGTGAATAAGCTTGGGTTTCAAAAACTCTCTCTTCTATGCTGTCAGGATAATCCTTGATGTTCTGATACTTTAATCATATACCCTTCTGGGTTTTGCAGCGGTACAATGGATTTAGTGGTACAAAGTTGTTTTTAGAGTTTCCTCACATTTGAATGAGATTTCAGGAAGGAGAAGAGGTAGTCATGGATGGTTAGTCAATCATCTTGCATAAGACTCCTGATAGGAATTTGGAAAATGGAAACCAACTATTTAAAATTCTACTGATTGATAGAACAAATATTTTCTCTCAGTAAATTGTGTGTATTTTTTCCCAAAAGTTAAATAATAAGCTAAATTTTACTTAAGAGCAGATGGAATATTTGTGATAGAAACAAAACCCCAGAAGAGGCATGAACTAATTGGTTCCAGCATTTAGGGGAGGGAATTCTGCCTAAAGAATTGTAAAACATTAATTCTCTGGAAATTGAAAGGATAGCTTTAGAGACATTTAGCTTTAGTGAAGACAAATGCATAATAAAGCTCATGTAGGTTGTTTTTACTTTCATTTTCTCAATTCAATGATTAATTAAGAGCTTGGAGGAGAAAAATGAAAAGGTTGGGAACAGAAAAGATCTGAAATAAGTTTTTGGAGGAATTTTTAGCTAAATAAGAGTAGAATTATGAGAATGGTAAGGCATTTATAATGTATAGTGTGGTGCAGTGAGAGAGAGAGAAACACTGAATATGAAAATATCACAGCAAGTGCTCAAAAAGTTGAGGGAGGTAGGAAATCCATAGTGTAAGAAACAGCACCCTATAGACAACCATGCAACATAAGCATGGTGTCTAATCTGGCAGTAAGAGGACTAATGAGGTGATTACAGGGAACTGGGGAAATAAGGTAAGCTTGTTACCATTAATTTAAAATAAATTTACTTAGCTAATACATTAACTTGATTGATTTAAGACAGATTAGTTTAAAACAGACAAACAGTTCCCTCATCTTCTCAGCCATTTATAATAGTAAAAAAATAAGAGTATTTCCTATGCTCTGAGGATCACACTTTTATCATCTTTTTTGCCTGAACTTTTTTCTCCTGTATTGTTCCAACTACCAAGAGGCCATTTAGTGTTGTAAAAAGCTAAACCATGGTCAAAGTCAGGTATATATCATTCTGACTCCTTATTCTCTAGTGATTTGTGGCTCTTTTTTTGCTGTTACTATGGTTTATATGCTTCCATTTCAGGGTCTTTCACTTTCATCTTCATTGCCAGCAAAGAAAACCGCAAATAGCTATCTATCCCTTCCTTCTCCTATATTTCATGTCTTAGTTCTCTCTCTCCTTTGTAGAGATGAAAATCCTTATTTTTCAGAAAACGTCAATGATTTTTTAGTGCTTGAATGTTCAAATATGAACCTCTCAGTTGGGTACTTAAGAATTTGCTCTATTTTTTATCTCACCACCTTTCCTGTCTACTTCCTCAGCCTATACTCCAAACTTATCCAACTTTCCCACGTTTCTTTCACATGAAATTCCTGTTCCAGGCAGGATGGTTTCTTCCTTGTCACAGCTGTTCCCTGATACCCTCCATCTGCATTTTGGTCATAAGACACTCCCTCCATATAACCAGATAAAGTCCATCACTCAAAGCACTTTTTTTGGGGGGAGTTTACATATAGTTTTCTTTCTTTCTTTTTTTTTTTAATTTTAATTGGAGGCAAATTAATTTACAATATTGTAGTGGTTTTTCAAAGCACATTTTATCTCATTAGTGACAATTTTTTTCTCTGGCCTGTGTGAATTGCTTACTTCTCTGAATTTTGAAAACCCTTATATGACTACCAGTAATTTTGTTTTCTGAATGATATAAGTGTGTGTGACCTTAGTTTAAGTGAAAGTGAAGTCACTCAGTCGTGTCCGACTCTTTGCGACCCCATGGACTGTAGCCCACCAGGCTCCTCAGTCCATGGGATTTTCCAGGCGAGAATACTGGAGTGGGTTGCCATTTCCTTCTCCAGGAGATCTTCCTGACCCAGGGATTGAACCTGGGTCATCCGCATTGTAGGCAGACGCTTTACCATCTAAGCCACCACCTGATCAGATGACATTAGTTTAACTTTAATAAAAACAATTCTTTGAAGTGCTTTTGTTCCATTAGGGGAGGAAGTTCTTGACAAAAGTTTTTTGATTTTACTTCATCCTGTCATTCATTGATGTACAATGCAAAGAAAACTGAAACTTTTCTAAAGACCAAAGTGAGTCAAACAATTTTTTCCCTCATTCTCAGGTAAAGAAAAGAATAACAAAATTAAGACATTTTATTTTTAAAATAATTGAAGTACACTTGCAAGCTTTTTCTGGCCGCATGGACTGTAGCCTGCCAGATTCCTTTTTCCATTGAGTTTTCCAGGCAAGGATACTGGAGCAGGTTGCTATTTCCTACTCCAGGTGATCTTTTCCACCCAGGAATCAAACCTAGGTCTCTTGTGTCTTCTGCATTGGCAGGAGGATTCTTTACTGCTGGGCCATCTGAGAGCCAACCTCTGTGTTTGGGTTATATTACCGGAGGAATCAGTATGATAAAATCTTGCTTATTGTTGAAGTTAGAGGAGTAATATATTTTCATTCCTTTCAGCCTAAAATTTCTGCATGTGATTTTGATGTGATGGGCCAGCTGGACTAATTAATTCAAAATAAGAAAAAAATATTTAAGAAAGAATCATTTATACTGTTTTAAAAAATAGTACAGTATAAGAAAAACTGCACAATATTCAAGGCTGTATGGAACTCAATTAATCTGTAAGCCATTAAGCAAATGAAATCTCACAATTTTCCTTGCTTCTCTGAGATATCAATACATTATAGCAGTCTGGCAACGCTCTCAGCCTTTACAAAGAACAGAGTTCGAGTGCACACACACTTATTCTCAGGAAACCCAGCCCTCTGCCTGACTCTCCTCAGTTGCAGAAAGAAAATGATGCTCAGTAGTGAAAGAGGAAAAGAGAGAGAGAGACAGAGACAGATAGAAAGATAGAAATTGTGTTCTCTTCTTTTTCAGAGTGGGCTAAGGATCTGTCTGTCCCCTACAAAATTTACCATGGAGGTCATTTGCTCTGTATAAAAATAAAGAATGGCACCCCTAAAAAAGACCTTCCACAGAGTGTAAAAGGGCAGGGCAGGTTGAAGGAAGAGGTCTTAAAGGTAAGTGATCCATCCCCTCAACCTTCACTCCCTTTGCGTTTTGTAGAGATGTTGTAAAGGCTGATGGGAATCCCAGGAAACGTGTTCCATAGTCTGGATGCCATCATTCCATGAACAGTGACATACACTTGATCCTCAACTTCCTTTTTTCTTTTTAAAATCTTTTTAAGGGCAAATACTTTGTAAAATATGAAGAAGGAAAACTCCTTGATCCCACAGACTGGAAAACTAACTCAAAGAACACATTGAGGAGGATCTGAAGATATTAAATTACATATTTTACTCGCTTACCATCTTTCTTTATATTGCCTGTTTTATTTCCACTATTACCGAATTTGCAGAGAATTAACAGTGACAAAGGTGAAACTTAAGAGAGACAAAAAGAATTCCAGTCTCCAAAGGAGGGGAGACAATTGGGTATGGGCATCTGAAACAGCATGCCCATAAATAAAGGAGGTTATTTTTATAGTGTTTATTTAGGGTACCTAATACTTTGTGTAAGATAGTTCATAAGATTTATTATTAGCAATGGGAAAAAAACAGATTTCCAAATTTAGAGATCACTCAGCATTCATGAACTTGGAAACTCCAGGCAAACTTGAAATCTCTCGTTGGCATCTGAGTTGATTTATCCTTGGCGAGAGACGGCGTGTTTCTTTTGTTTTTCAGTAGAGTAAAAATTTTTGCCTCAAATAAGAGCTAGATCAGTGCTTTTTCAAGTTGTATAAGCAAACGCACATATACATATATATTGTAATATTTGTTATATAATATACATCACAACATAAAAGTTGTATACATGTATGTATTTTCAGTAGAAGCTATCTATATATAAGCATCGTAATAGGTAGTAAAACAGATAGTAAAAATTAAGAAGTACAGATACTACAAACCATAAACAATAATAAAAATAAACAGCATTAATGACTTAGTGTATGCTTTCTTGTTCTTTTCTCATTTTCCCATCATCATCACCATCACTCTCCTTCTCTCTCTCTCTCATACTGAGGTATGCTTTTCCTATCAATAATATTCACCTTTTCATTGTATCGAAATGTTAGAACCTTTGATAATCAGAGAGATCTTACTGCAAGAGAACAGAAGATAAGAGAACAGATGAAGATAAGATAGCAAGTTATAGTAGTTTACATATTTAAAATGGTGAATGTGTTTAAGCTTAAACATGTATTTACAAATGCATTGATAGAAACAAAAAGACAGACTATTTGAAACTGGGTGCATTTCGAAAAATTTAAAATTAGTTGTCTCTCTACATAGCTGGTATATGAATATTTTCTGATTAAGTTTTATTTTGAGTCTTACAAATGACTCTTATAAGATAGTTCCTAGAATTGCATAGTATTTATGCTTTCAAAAGGAAAAAAAGGGGGGAAATGTACTATTAGATATAGAGGGACTGTGATATTTTTCAAAAATATTTCCTAACCAAAGGATACAAAGTTGGATTCCCAAGGTGGCATTTCAGAAACACTCAATTAATATAATCTTAGGATATTGTTCTCAGATTTCCATGTGTACATTCACTATAATTAATGCTACAGAGAGGGGAAACATCAATGTTACCTGCTTTGTATTTCTCAAATGTGTACTTGTTAATATTCTCAAACTTTTAAAGAAATCCATTTCTTCCCTTTAAACATAAGGATTCATGGAAGAATATATGTTTGTGTATATATGTATGTATGGAAAGATATATATACACACACACACAGCCATATATGTGTTTGTGTCTCTGTGAACCTATATGGAGAGAGAATAAAATGTACTAGGGAGAAGAAAAAATATATATATATACATATGTATTCTATTTTATTTTCTTTTGAATTTCCAAATGACTCTTGTTAGATAGCTTCTAAAATCATATAATATATTTTTAAAAAGAAAAGAAAGACAAAAAGTACTGTTAGGTGCAGAGGTGACCATTATTTGGGGGCCTGGAGTGTAAGCAGTAATTTGAAAGGCTCTCACTGGAACCGTTCTGGGAAGGAGAAAAAGCCAACATCAGGCCGTTTGGTGGGGTTTCTACTAGGGCTGCTGTGAGAAATGGATGAAATTCTTATGAGTGTCATCATTGTAAAAGAAGGGGCAGGGGAAGAAAGAGAAGGCTGTGTTCATTGGCTGCATCTGCCTTTGGTCCAAGATTACCCCAGAAGCATTAACTCTCCTGAAGTCTCACCCACCACTTCTCCTTACTGAGGGCATAGGAGAAAATTCCAGGGCCAGAGGAGAAGGACTTGCAGCTTGTGTATCTGAGGTACAGCTGAGATTTCTGAGACATGTGGAGAGGATTGGAGGGATAAAGGGCAAGCAGTGAGAAACGGCGTGTGAAGATAAAATCACAGGCTGGCAACAGTGTATAAAGGGGAGCAGTGCAAGATTCTTGGGGGCGCAATGTGAGATCACATGAAAGCCCACTGATCCAGCATCTCTCAAGGCCTCCCTGCTTCCAAGCTCCAGCTACAGAATTCCAAGCTTTGGGCAAGAGAGGGCTATGGTATGAATGGAAAATGTAAGCCTCTATCATTAACAAACCAAATAGGTCCATCGAAGAACTCTTGCCCAAAAAGCTAGACATTTTAAGTCAGGTTGTGCCTGGAGAAGGAAATGGCAACCCACTCCAGTATTCTTGCCTGGAGAATTTCATGGACAGAGGAGCCTGGCGGACTACAGTCCATGGGATTGCAAAGAGTCAGACATGACTGAGCGACTGACATACACTGTGCTACTGGCTTAAAAAACAAAAAGAGGTTTGTAGTAGAGATACAGGGCCAGTGATCCAGGAGTATCACTAGCAGGCCTGCGTGTAGTAGATTTTCAACACATATTTGTTGACTGAGTCAGCCTGCCCAATTTTCTCCAATAATACTGATAAAGCATTTATCATGTGCTAAGCACTTTCATGTTAACCCTCATAATACCCTATAAAGTAATTACTAAGTCACAGAGAGTAAACTTCTTGGAACCACATAGATAGCAAAGGAAAAGTCTATATAATCAGCTTCAGAAACCAAGAAAAGGAAATTCTTCTACTTTATAGGTTGCTGTGCTCTCGTTTCATCATATGCATTTGATCCCCTGCTTTCCCTTCTGTTTATACTGTTCTTCTGCCACTGTTCACTGGGCTTGAATTATGTTATTTTTTTTAATTTCATCTTAAATATAAATTATTAAGAAAGATATCCTTTGACCATCTGATCTAGAATGTTGCCTTCTGTCCTATGTACTTATTCATAGCACCTTGTCCTTTCCATTGATAACACTTGTAGAGGTTTGTAACTTTTTCCTTCACTAGTCTAATACATGCTACCCCAACCGCAAACCCAGATTGTAAGCTCTGGGGAGGGAAGAACCATGTCTAGGTTGCTTACCACTGAACATACAAACTTAGCACATATGAAATGTATAATAGTATAATAAATATTTATTACCTAAATCAACTAATGCAGGTGGCCAGTCTTCCCATGACTTATAGAGTGTCTTCAAGGAGAGGTATTGTCTTGATCTGATCATCTTATAAGTTACATGGAAATAATACTGATAATGGTAGTTGTTGTTGTTCAGTCACTTAGTTATGTCTGACTCTTTGCAACCCAATGGACTGCAGCACACCATGCTTCCCTGTCCTTCTCCATCTCATGGAGCTTGCTCACACTCACTGCCATTAAGTTGGTGATGCCATCCAACCATCTCATCATCTGTCGTCCCCTTCTCCTTCTGCCTTCGATCTTTCCCAGCATCAGGGTCTTTGTCAATGAGTCGGCTCTTCACATCAGGTGGCCAAAGTATTGGAGCTTCAGCATCAGTCCTTCCAATGAGCATCAGGACTGATTTCCTTTAGGATTGGCTAGTTTAATCTCCTTGCAATCCAAAGGACTCTCAAGACTCTTCTCCAATACCACACTCAAAAGCATCAATTCTTCAGTGCTCAGCCTTATTTATGGTCCAGATCTCACATCCATACATAACTACTGGAAAAACCGTACCTTTGACCAGATGGATCTTTGTCGACAAACTCATGTCTTTGCTTTTAATACACTGTCTAGGTTTGTCAAANTTCTTATCTCTTCTTGCTCGTCTTTGGAACTCTGCAATAAGATGGTTATATTTCCTTTTCTTCTTTTCCTTCTGCTTCTCATCTTAGCTATTTGTAAGCCTTCTTCACAAAACCATTTTATTTTTTTACATTTCTTTTTCTTGGGGATGGTCTTCATCACTGCCTCCTGTATAACGTCATGAACCTCTGTCCATAGGTCTTCAGGCACTCTTTCTATCAGATGTAGTCCCTTGAATCTATTTGTCACTTCCACTGTAAAATCATAAGGGATTTGATTTAGGTCATACCTGAATGATCTAGTGGTTTTCCCTACTTTGTTCAATTTAAGTCTGAATTTGGCTTAAGGAGTTCATGATCTGAGCCACAGTCAGCTCCTGGTCTTGTTTTTGTATAGAGCTTCTCCTTCTTTGGCCACAAAGAGTATAATCAATCTGATTTCAGCATTGGCCATCTGGTGATGTACATGTGTAGAGTCTTTTGTGTTGTTGGAAGAGGGTGTTTGCTATGACCAGTGCGTTCTCTTGGCAAAACTTTATTAGCCTTTGCCCTGCTTCATTTTGTACTCCAAGGCCAAATTAGCCTGTTACTCGAGGTATCTCTTGACTTCCTACTTTTGCATTCCAGTCCCCTATGAAGAAAAGGACATTTTTTTGGTGTTAGTTCTAGAAGGTTTTGTAGGTCTTCATAGAATCTTTCAACTTGTAGGTCTGCCCAAATTAGTCTCACATGACAAATGACTTCACACACAAAAAACATAAAAGACCTAAGTTACTTAGTCAGTCATAAGGAATTATCACTGTTTTATTTTTGTTATATTTTCTCCATCCATAGGCATCAATACCTGTTCAACAGACAGATAATGGAATCTACTATGTGGTTACACTCTGAGCTTGAAATGTGAAAATAAATATAAAAAATAATCACTTCCTTCAAGAAGCTGAACTTGGGGTTTTGACATGTAGTTTTGATATAAATTTTTACTTGCTCAATGTGGAAAATAAAATGTGATCACACATTTGTTAAAATTCTTCCAATCAACAGGTAGAGTCTCTTCCCCTAATCCTTGAATTCAGGCTGGCATCAAGACTCTCTTTGACTTATAGAATGAAATTGTGTAAGTTTCTGAAGGCTCAAGGAAAAGTACAGATTTCATTTCTGAGCCCTTGGAATTGCTTGGAATT